CCTGACTTCAGGATTGCTTCCAGCACCGATCTCGCCTGCTTCTCGTCCATCGGCCGTGTCCTTGTTCGGCCCGTACACACTCTAGCAATTGCCTCTGCTAGCGTCGTATTAGGTCCAACGGGATCGTTGAGGTGCCAGCCACGTGTCAAGCCCGCATCCTCTTCCGCCAACGCCTGCCGGAGAAGACGATCTGCCCCCTGCCGATCTCCTCCTCCTCCTCCTCTCGCATCGGTGCTAATCAACGGTCGAGAAATCGCCACGTCACCCTCGACGCTGGGATCGCCCATTGCACGTGCCGTGAACGAGGAGGGATCGCGACTGGGCCTTCTTACCACCATCCTTAGCTCCGTCTGTGGTCCGAAATCCCCTACCGCTACATGTAGGCGGAGACGCAAGCTCGCGGCGGCGCTCGTCCGCATCGTCCTGCGCTGCGGGGGCATCATTCGCGCGCCAACGGAGTTATACTGGCGGGAGACGGTCGCAGGGGGAGCGCGCAATCCGCCTGTCCCCCGTTCGGCAGCGCCCTCACCTTCATGGCGGCGGCGCAAGCCCCCTCCCCGAGGAGGCGCCTCCGCAAGCAACCAGCGGCGCGAACCTGCGGAGGAGGGGGACCAAGCGGACGGCGATGCGCAGCCGGAGGTAGAGGCAACTGATGCGGCCGCATGTCCCAGCGATGACACCGTTTGAGATCGCGTGCTAGGCAATCCCGATCTCGACGAGGGAGTGCGCCTACTACCGATCTCTCCCCCATTCCCCCCCCGCACAGCTGGTGCTGCCGCTAAGAGCGCTTCAGCCCACCCGCCGACCCGGCCCATCACCGTGCTGCTGCTAGTCCCCACCATCGCCATCGTGCATTCACATCAACATCAAAGCTTTCAAAATACTTCCAAAAAGAAGAAGAAGAAAAAAAAAATCAATCCAGGAAATAGATTGTCAAGCTTGATTGAAATAAGCGCGGGAAAAATCCGATACGGCCGGGAGGACTCCAAAAAAAAAAAAAAAAAAAAAAAGGAGAAGAAGAAGAAGAGAAGATCGGGAGGTCGAGAAAAGGACGATAGCGATGGATGTGCGCGGCACTGATTCCCACGACGACGGAGTCTCACAGTGCAGACGAGCGTCGCACAGACTCGCAAGGTAGGATTAGAGATCGGGATCGCGGTCGCAAGTGCGCGATACTGCAAGGAAAGCGCTCGCTGCCGTCACCATCATGCTCGTGCCGGCGACCTTACCATTTACACCCCACCGGGACGGATGTACGACCAGGTACAGGCACGTCACCGTATGGCGCCGCTCCCTTGCTTTTGCCTCAGCGAATACTCCACCAAGGACCTTTTTGACTCTGCTCTGGACGTGAATGGCGCCACGTGCATCCACGTCTGGCCGCAACTGCGATCAGATACAATCAAAAGATTGCTAGTGTGAGTATGCTCTCAGATATCTGGTGGATGGGGAGTAGCTGCCCTCCCACGTGAGACATCGCTGTACCCGGCGCGCTACACACTGAGTCTCGAGGAGGAGATGCCGATCTTAATGATCTTCATGCCACGTGGCGCTTTCTGATCAAACTGCGGGAACCTCGTGATCGGCAGAAAGCGTACGAAATGGCAAATAACAGCCACAACGTCTCAGCGGGCGTGCTCACACTATGGTAGCACTATCTTAATTAAATGCATCTGACTGCATTTACGCCCGCACCTTGATGCACCTGGCCGCATGTCTGTCCGGAAATAAGCAAAAAGGTCCTAGTGTGAGTACGCCTCAGACAGAAATAGAGTACATCTTCTTCACCATCTATCTTACGCTCTCTTCCCACCTCCATGGGGCTTCCACTATCTCGACATGCACAACAGACAAAAATAATAGCGGTGTATCTCTCCATGTTCTAGGGGAAGATTCACTCTCGTTTTGCACATTTCGCGAGTTGTGCAGCGAGGCCCCATCTCTCTGCGATCTAGAACAAAAGCTGGCTTCGAGAACAAACGCTGGCCAACGTCGAAGCGAAGGTGGGGCCTCCCCTCGTTCGTGACATCCGTTGAAATCGGAACGGAACGATACAGAGAGGGGGGGGGGGGGGGGGGGGACACAGAGTAGATCAGCACAGCATGGACCCTGATGGGAGGCATCAAAACAAAGGGCGTCGCTCCACTACTCTCCAAATGTACAAACAAAATGAGACTGACTCTTCCGCTAGAACATGGAAAGTTACATATCTTTTGTCTTTTGTGCGAGTGGAGAGTAGTGCAGTGAGGCCCAAAGGCACCTTCGTAGCCTGTGGAGTTCTGCAGCTAGATAGTTAGGGCCAGATCCCACCGACAAAGAGGGTCGGAATATGTGTCTGAATCTGGACGTGTTCCACACAGAGATGCAGAAAAGAAGATCAATCACAATTTTTTACACCTCTTCAGATTCTTTTTTTTTTTTTTTTTTTTTTTGGAAACACGAACTTTTCATTTCAACTGGAGAGACAGGGCCCCGGGAATACACCCCGACAATTCAACCCGGTACAAAACATCCTCAGGCCATTACCCAGCTGTAGGCTCCTGGAAACCGGGGGCAAGGTCCCACTTGCGCAAATTAGGAGATTCGACCGTTGATCTTTGCTATCTACGGTCAGTATCTCTTAATTCGTGCAAGTGGGACCTAGCCCCGGGTCCAGTGTCCCTCTTCGAAAGAGCCTCCAAAAACTCAAAAAGGGAAAAAGGGGGATACATCCAATTAGCCCAGACTTCTTATAATCCCTTTCAGCAGGAGATCTCTCAATCTCCATTTCACTTCTTTGCCCCTCTGCTTATGATGAAAAACGGGTCCAGCATCCCCACATATCATCCTAACAGTAGTCCTAGAAACAGATATTCAATTCTTCCAAATACCTCTGTTCCCTCCTGACCTAGTTGTGGTTCTTAGAGTCTGACACGACCCTACCTAACGGCTGCTCTACTTCAGACCTGGAGTCATGGCCCTATCACAAGCTTTGTCTCTTCCGAAATCTTTGCCAATCCATTATCTACCACAAGTTTCCTTTGTTGTGCCAGTAGATGCAGATTAACCTTCTTATCTGACTTTTAACCTCTGTCTGAGACTGCAGTAGCGTCCAATGTTCCCCTTGGAATAATGCTGCGTTTCTCGTCTGCCAAAGGATCCCCATGATTATTCCTCTGCAGGTTTGGGCCACGTACTCCCAACCCCATGATCGGTTTTTCCTGTTAAAACCCAGGAGTCCGTCCACGGCAGTAAACCTTCTCCAGTGGCACCGCCACCACTGCCATAGTCTAATAGAGATCGGGCAGTGAATCCAGAGGTGAGCCTGGGTTTCCCATGCCCACCTGCATCTGGGACAGTCTTGCTGAAATCTTCAAGTTCATTCCTCAAGTCTGCAACCACGTTGCTGACGGTACCACCTGTAACATCTGGAGCCACAGCAATGTCGCTGTCTTCTGGTTCGTCATTCGCTTCAGTTGCTGCCAAAAGTTCCTTATATCCTCGGAGGACATAATACTTGGACAATACTCTTTCCATCTTCTCTCTGCCACCGCTGTCGGGGAGCTCCTAATCTTCGATCTGCACCAATCCCTTCCTGTCTTCATCGAGTAGTAAACCATTGCCACTATCTGCTTCTTTTGATCTTCCATCTTCCAACTGTACACGAAAGGTTCCACCTTGCATTTAGAGACCAGAATACCACCTTGGCAGTGTTCCTTACCCCTTTGATCTTTCGATATCCAGACCCTTTTTCTTTTTTCTTTTTTTTTTCTTTTTTTTTTCTTTTTTTTTTGCCAAAACAGCTCCATCTATTGGTGGGGAGCAACACCTGCTGGAAAACGGGTCCAGCGTCCCATAGATACAAGCATTACCTCACAAATTGGCACGAACCGGGAACCGGGCCCGGCGTCCCATAACGAATACCTTCAGAAGATTCGTCACTAAAAACCTACTAGAAAATCCAATTGGGCTAAGAATAGTATTTGAAAATTAAGATACCGGGGCCATTACCTGGCTTTGACTCAAAGATATTGGAGCAGCTTCAGACATGTCTACAACAATCTTCATGATTTAGAACAAATTTCAGGAACGACTCAAGAGAACCCCCCATCACACCACTTTACCTCACTCCGGCAAGACTGACTGCAGCGGAGCCGCCATCTCTGCTGCTGCTGTACCATACTCCCATCCTGCCAGCTAGCCCCCTCACTGGCAGGACGCGTGATAACCCACCCTCTGCTCCAACTCGACTTATTTGCTATTTGAAGTTCCTAAGAGCTTTCTTTTTTCAGAAAAAAATCAGACCCCCCAAACAATCCCCTGCTTCCCACTCCAGCAAGACTTACTGCAGCAGAGCCACCATCTCTGCTGCTGCTGTGCTCTATTCCTATCCTACCAGCTAGCCCACTCACTAGTAGGACGCATGATACCCCACCATCTTTTTTTCGAAAACTGCAATCGCAGCAGTTCTGTCTTCGTCATCGAAAGGGAGGTCCCTGAAGACCAACAAGTGCAACAGTTCTGTCTTCGTCATCGAAAGGGAGGTTCCGGGTATGTTCTAATGAGCCGGTACCCATCGAGACTCCACTCAATGCCAATCGCATCAGTTCTCAACCACCCCCATCCGAACCCCCTTCATCCTCCCCAACTCCGTCCTAGTGAAGGGTTCGAAGGACCATATCCTTAGCACGAGCCAGACACAATCCTCATCCTGCAATCTCCTGCCCCCTCGGAGATTCTAGTCTCCGTCATCGAGAGGGTAAGCCAGCGCTGCCTGAGGCCAATCGCACCAGGATGATCCCTCATCAGCCGGTACCCATCCGGCAACTAAAGCTGCCCGATGCCAATCGCATCTAATGAAAGATCCCCCAGCCGATACCCCTCAGACGACCTGATTCAACCCTCTCTCTCTTCCTCACAAAGAGTCATCTCGTGCCCTTTGCCCTCCACCTTGAACAAATCCCCCAAAACCCAACAGAACCTCCACTCACATGTCCCCCCTTCGCCTCCCCAACTCCGTCCTAGTAAAGAGTTCGAAAGACCGTGTCCTCAGCAAGAGTCAGACACAATCCTCATCCTGCAATCTCCTGCCCCCTCGGAAATTCCAGTCTCCGTCATCGAGGGAGTGAGTCAGCACTGCCTGAGGCCAATCGCACTAGAGTAAACCCTCATCAGCCGGTACCCATCCGACAACCAAAGTTGTCCGACGCCAATCGCATCCAATGAAAGTTCCCCTAGCCGGTACCCCTTAGACAACCCCGACACAACCCTCTCTCTATCCTCGCAAAGAGTCATCTCGTGCCCTTGCCCTCCACCTTGGACAGATCCCCCAAAACTCAACAAAACCGCCCCATACGAGTATATGAAATTTGAAGCGAATTTTAGCCAATTATTTGGGACCACATGCAAATTAGTATAGAAATATACCATCAGATGCCCTAAGTAGGACTTTCAACCAATACTATGAAACTCTTAGTTGATTTATTCGACAAGAACAAAAATCATTACTCCAGAAGTCCGTTGAATTACAAAGGAGAATCAATTGATTTTGAAAATCCATAAGAAACACAAATAAGAAAAATAATATGATGTCCGCCCGAAATTTTGACTCTGATGATGTCCACCCGAACTTTTGACTCTGATTTCTAGAACCAGGGTTCAGGAAATTGTTCGAACCGTAAGTCAGAGAATTACTAATCAGAAAAACATATCATCTAGGACTATGACATAGGAAGGGTACACGGGAAACACAATTATTGGATTTTCATCATGATTGAAAATAACAGTTCTATAGAAGATAGGAACTATATAGCAAAAAAAACACAGAAAATCACTCCGAGCAAGGAAATGGTCAACAAAAACCTGTTGAGCATCTTGGAAAGAGCAAGATCATGTCAGACGATCAACCTAAAAAGACAAATCGAGAATCATGCAAGAAATCTTTGGTTATTATTAGTAGGAGATTCGTGGGAGATCACTTCAAAATCAACAAATCCTATCCCTTCTTCCTCAAACCACCACTTACCTCTACTTACCTCCCGCCCTTCAAATTCCCTTCCTCCCACTGCTAGCTTCTAGGCTCGAAGCAAACACCAGCACCAAAGGCATAAGCGACCGTCTTCGATTCCCGCAAAAATCGAAAACAGTGTGGCACCCCCTCGCCAAACCCGCTGACGAGTCGCCACAGGGGATTCAACACCATCATAGTTGTACG